ATATTTCTAGAACAGCTTTGCTTTTTATCTCATAGCTATCGTTGTTGGGGTGTTGATAAAAGGGATGTTAAATTATTCATTATCTTAGCTAATGTTTAATCAGTTTGGTATTATATTTAGGTGATAAGACAAAAGAAGAACCAAGCAACCAGAATGATTTGATTGTCCCCTGGGAATAAAGCCTGGGAAGGGGGTGGTGCTTCCCTGAGGGGAGTGATGATTTGTAAGATCTCACACATCTAGGGGTCTTGTAGAAGCAGCAGTTTGTACTGAGGAGCATGTTAGTGTGGCCAAATGAAGAGTGTTGGGTTGGTGTAGTAGACCTAGAGGGGCCAGAGGGCAGTTGAGCTGGATCATTGCGGGCTCTGAAGAGCCTCTGAGCACTTGACCTTCAGCCTTTGGTGATGGGGAGCAGTGAAGCAGAACTTTAAGCAGAGCAAGTATCTGAACACACTGATTCTAACAAAGGCTATTCTTGGAGGGGTGTAGAGAAGACTTTGAGGGGAGCCTCTGGCCAGGTGAGGGGGCAAAAACTTTGGTGGAGAGGTTGGGTGGGGTTTGGCTAGAGTCCTTGATTACCAAAAGTTACAGGAGGGAATTCAGGATATATCGGGGAATTTGGTGACTGTTTTGCATGTGCTTGGCATTGCATCTGGTGAAGTTTGTGGTACTCATGGAGCAAGACATGCCAGTTTAATAAAGCAAAATTTATTTCCAGACTAGAAGACTTTATCATATTGGGGTCACAGCCTCTTCTTGGAGATCCCAGGCATGTATCTGTGTTGTTTATGCTGCTGTAGAACTGGGTATGTTTTAGGTTATTAAAAAAAAATATTATGGTTGCAGTGCTGCTCATGTTTTATAGACAAGCCAAATCAGTGGTTCTTTTAAAGAACCATATAGTACTCCTGCTCAGTCCCACCACTCCTGATTCTCTTTTCCAGGCTCCCACCCCCTCCCACCTCTCTGTTTTAGTCATGGAATGTGTTGACTGTCCCATCCACTGTGTATTTCATTCCCCACTCCAACCTGTCATAGTTTCCTTATTTTCTGATGAAAGAATTACTTTTCTAGCAGAGAAGTCATAGGATGATTTCTCATGTCAGAAGTTTACCAGTGGGACATTCTCTGCTAATTTATAAAATCCACAGGTCCATCTGTCACCAAACCTCCATAGACCAAAGACTGAATACTGAGTATTTCAGAAAGTTGAACTTAGCACCCGTGGAGCTGAGCATCTGTAGATCTAGAACCTGGTAAGAAAACATCAGAGATAGCACCTGCCTTAAGTGGTCTACAATGAGTTTTTTGGGGAGGTGATACTTTGGAGCTGTGGCAGATGTTGGTAGTTTTGAGAGGTAAAACTAACTTGATCTATTCCTTGATTCAGAGTTGAGTGTGGTGATTGAGAGTCTGGGTTCTGGAGTCTGACTCTTGTTCTGCAATATTGTGGCCAAATGACTTCATCTTGATGCTTCCCTTCATTGTTGATAATGAGATCATGTTAGTGTCTACCTTCAGATTACTAGGAGGACAACTTGACAAATGTGTGCGATGCACTCAACAATCCTCCTGACATACCACCAGTGTGCAGTAAATGCTTACTGTGGGTCATACCTGACACCAAAGAGGAGTCTCTGAAGGTTCAGCTTAGAAAGGTATGTGTATGAGAACCAGAGGTTGCTGACTTACTTCCTCCGGAGAGCTGGTAGGGCTAGCCCTTTAATGTGTAGAGTCACTGAAAGAAAATTCTGGAACATGCTTTGTTCAGGACAAATTGGTTGTTTGAATCCTCAGGTTACTTCTTTGATCATACTATATATAATCACTTTGTCACTTAGAGAACTTCCAGAAATGAGTTCAAAGGCCAGAAGGTGGCAGGTAACACTTAGAGACTCAGACATCACTGCCTGTGAAGCTTTCTTGTTACCTTCATCCTCATTCGAGTTCACTATTCATGAGCCCCTCTTCAGATTCTGACAGACAGTCCAGAGACAGAAGGAGAAACAAGAGTTCCCATTCTCATGAGATTTGCAATGTTATTTACATGTATATACGTGGAACAGATTCAGTCCACTGTGATGCAAGCACAACTGGAATGCATAGAAGGCAAGATTGGTGCATAGAAAGCAGAGTAACTGGCTTTACAGAAGTGATGACATGTCTGAGATTTTGCGGGGCAGAATGAGAGCCAGGGTCTGCAGGTTTGTGTAGAACTGGCATGTGAGTGGGGGGAGGGAATAGTTAGTAAGACATGGCATTGTGGATGTAGGAAAGAGCCAGAACATGCCAGAGCTTGGCCTTTTATCTTGGGGATGTTTGGACTGTTGAGAGACATTAGGTAACAAAATGCCACAGATACATTTTTAACAGCATAACCCTGGTATGGAATATAGACTTGAAAAAGGCAGGTTTGTCTCGTCCTCCCAGGTTGATCAAGGGCTGGAACGGGGACAGAGTCCTATTTATCTCTGTGTCCCTGATGTTTGGTACATTATAAACCTTCAGGAAATATTTTAGACTGAAGATAGCTCAAGTTGAATTTCTTCTTTTTTCATTCTATCCTCAGAACATGCTGACCTGGCCTTCCATCTGTCACAAGCAGCTTGACTAAGATCATAATAAATTCTCTTTTCTTGGCATTCTTTTAGCTGGCACTCTGTTTACTAGCCCCCCCTATGCAACTGTAGTGTGGTGAAGATTGATGTTTATAATTCTGACCCTGAAGTCCTTCAAGGCTCCTAAATCATCAGAAAAAGATTAAAATACAGTCAATATCACTCTAATGTTTGTGTGTTTTACTGCATTCTCATGCTTTGGAAATTGATGGCTTTTCAAGTGCCTGTATACTTGATAAGTACACAGTGAGAATCTGTGATCATCCACAACTCCAGACTCTCCTGGTGCCAGAACAGGCCACTTACTATGCGTGCTCAGAACAGAATGGCCTGGGTTCTCTCCATGCCCAGGGGGAGGATGCATGCTGGACCAAAATGTAAGAGAAGGCAGAAGTTGGAAAGCCAGTAGGAGGCAGCCAGCAAATCAGGTGTAGCTCAGAGAAGTAAAGAATGTACACAGCTCTGCTATGTCCCAACCTCAGGAAGAGCACATCTCAGTGCTGGGGCTCCAGCACTCTAGCCTGTGTGCCTTGACTCTGTCAGCAGGCTCAGATTGGACAGGGCTCTCCAGCAGCTCTATTATTATTGCATTAACAACGGTTCCATGAGATGTCAGACTCCAACAAGTAAAAGCACGTGATAATTAGATCATCCTGGTCCCCCTGCATATCTTCCTTGAAAGTCATTATTATTGCAGGGCTGACAATATCATGAGACCCAGAATGAAGAATTGGGAAATTCTGGGAGATTGCTCCATTGGTGACTTTCTTAAAGGGGTCTGATGTTGTCTCTAGAGGGATTTGAGTGTTCTTTGGGGGTTTATATATTGCTGTCATTAGAAATCCATCTATGTTTTGTTGTACAATTTACTTTCTAGCCTGTTAGACCAATCAGTTGTCATCTCAGTTGAGAAAGCCAGTCCCTGAGTCACAGGAATTCAGCTTGCCACCCAAGCATGGGTGTGTGTGCCTTCAGAGCTGGTTTCACCTGTCACTTGGGCTCCTTAGCCAGGTCTAAGGCCTCTTTGGAGGGGCTTAGTTTTTCTTCACTGAAATACTGGGATGGTGCTAATTTCCTTCTTTAATAGGGATACTGTAAAAGCTGAAGTAAGATAGCTAATGTGAAAACTCTCATGGGAAGCATTACTTACACTAACCTAGTAGATATAAATACTGTCATATGCTAGATATAATATTGCAGAGCAATACCAACTGTACCAGAGAATACCACACATCTTCCTTTAGAACATGGAACTTCATCTCATCTTCACAGACTTTCCCAAAATACAAATGGGTTACTGATGAGCCATTGAGTCCCTACAGTGGTGTCAGTAGGTGTTCCAGGTGTTACTTTATCCATTCTACCAGGTATGCATCACATCCCCTTTTGGAAAAGTGAGGCACTTTGTCACTAGATATCCAGAGTAGAAGCAGAACTTGGACCTGATTCCAGCATTTTGCTGACTCCTTTACTGTGTTACCGAGTCATTATCTAGTTCACAACTTGTAAAACTTCTCAACTCTGTTCCTGACCTTGAGATGGGGACATTGGCTAGTCTTCTTGGGGCCAATGGAACCTGAGAGCCCCAGGAACCCTGCCAAGCCCCAGAGTACAAGGCAGTGAGAGCACTCTCTGAGGGACATGGCCATGCCTGGAGGAGGCAGTGCCCCAGCCCCTGACAAAATCACCATGGCCATTTTGTTCTTTAAAGTTAGTTCTTAGCCGGGCAGTGGTGGTGCACACCTTTAATCCCAGCACTCAGAAAGCAGAGACAGGCGGATCTCTGTGAGTTCGAGACCAGAGCTACAAGAGCTAGTTCCAGGACAGCCTCCAAAGCCACAGACAAACCCTGTCTCGAAAAAAACAAACAAAAAAACCAAAACAAACAACAAAAAGTTTGTTCTTTTTTTATGCCAGTCAGCCACCCCATCAGCCTCTTGGGTCCCACCTGTGCCTCTCCATGTCACACTTCACTACGGCAGGAAGTTGTAGGCCTGGGACCCTCCTCTCATAAATCACTTCCCACATAGCTCTGGAGTGGCTCCTGATCTGTTTGCAGAAAGGGACAGAGGATTTAGTCCATGTAGTAATGCTCTACTGAGTATTTCAAAACTCTTTTCTCTGATGCTGTATATTGGGGAAGGGACCCTGGGTTGGTGGTTTATTAAGTGCCCAATGGGACCCATTGTTGCATACATGTTTTTTTGTTTGTTTGTTTTTTGTTTTTTAATATTTTTCTGATTCATAGTCAACCTGTGAAGCAGAGCTGACCACAGAAAACCAGGGATAACAGTTTTGACTATTCAGGAAAGATGTCAGAGTAGGAGAGAAGCAACTGTGTGGCCTGTGGTTCTAAAAGAAGCTTGTGCTGTGTTTGTGAAGGTTCTCAACAGGAGGTGTGTAGAAGCTGCAGTGATGACTGGCTTGGCACTGAACTGCCACATAAACAAGAAGTCTTTGTTTGACAGGAAGCACTACTTCTACTCAGACCTTCCTGTAAGTATGCTGTGTTCTCAGCAATGGACCTGCCTGCCTTGGGGGATGGAAGCAAAGGCCAGGGGATTTGCCACTCATGTTTTCAATCAGCCCTCTGTCCATCGCAGCAGGAGGTACTGCCCAGCCCTAATGAAGGCAGAGGCCCCCCGATGTTTACTAGATTGGATGTGATTGTCCTGATGCTGACTCCTTACTTAGTCTCCTGCTTCTGTTGGTTCACTCATAATTGAACAGGGACCAGGAGAGGCCAGTGCTGTCAGGTTCTCCCAGCCATGATGTTTGGTGCTAATTGCCTGTTAGGACAAAGGCTAGCCCTGTGGTTGATGCAGCTGTTAGTACCCACTTTCACCGCAGACATTGTGAGAATCTGTCTCTTTTATGTAGACTTTCCTAATAAGAAGGCTAGCTCCTTTGGAGATGTTTTGTCATCTCCCAAGGAGCAAGCAACTGGACAGTAGTAGGCAGAATTATGAGTTAGAATGAGCACAAACAACAGTAATTAGTTGAGCAGCAAACTCAGTATGTACCTGCTTTTTCCCTAAATTTAGAAAGTTTCTTTCTTATAGTGGTGCCAGTGTGAATGAGAGCCAATTTTTCATAGTATGGCACTGGAACAAAACTGAAATGTTGAATGGGTTTCTGAAAACAATGTGTCATTTAATCATATGTTCTGATAGGTAAGTATGATTTAGAAAAACAATAGCAATAAACATTGCTGCACTCCATTCTTCTGGAACTGAAGATTTAAAAGAGTTGGGTTTCAGTGGTGAGGGAATAAACAGACATAAATAAAAAGCAAGGTAAGTAGGACCCTCTAGCTCCTGCACAGCCCCCATTTCCACAACTTCTGCTATATAAATTCAAAAGAAATGTTTAATTTTTCATTACTAGGGATGGAATCAAGGGACTTGTACATGCTAGGTAATCTGTGTGCCACTGACTCACATAAAGCCCTGGGAATGTTTGGATTTTAGCCTGTTCTTGGCCTGGGCGGTTCAGCGTGTCCAGAACAGGTGGTCACAATATTGCACATGGCATGACCATAACACAACTCATGTGTGTTGTGTATCTGAAATTCATATTTAGAAAAGTGCCCTGATTTTTTGTCCAACAACCCAAACCAAAATTCAGGTCTATAGGTGGAGACTTTCTATCTGAGTATAGATAGGGACTTAGCCTTCTGCACAGTTCCCCATGTGTGACCTCAGGGCACCCAGTGTCAGCATTTCCCAGAGCCTTGTTAGGAATATAAATTCTCCAGCCCTACTCCAAGCCTCCTGCATCATAAACCTTGAAAGTCACATCAAACATGCTGTGGTTTGACATGCCCACTTGTATTTCTGAAGTTTTATAAGTCTTTCACTGGCCTAGTAAGGAGAGGTACCAACTTGGGCCATTGTGGCCTGGAGATCTCCTGGTTTATTATGTGTGGCTTCGGACAAGACCCTTGGTCCCCTCTTGTCTGTACTAATAGGCTCATGGGATTGAATAAAGGCAGTGGTGTTCAGCAAGTACTGCAGATGCTTTAGCCATTACTCTCTGTTTATCTCCAGTCTTTCCATCGCCCTGCATTCTCAGTGTGTGTTCAAAAGTAATTCTTTCCATTTAGAAGGGGCAGGTACCCTTGCAGCATCCGTCAGTTTTTTTGTGCTATGTGCTGTCTGTTAGCAGATTGTGATGAGCACATCATAGTATTTTCTGACCAGAGGAATAAGGGAAGAGCAGCTGGCATGATTGCCTACCCAAAAGAGCAGAATCCAAACAAGCTGAAATGCATTGGCAGTTGCTGTAAGCCATGTTACAAGTGGACAGCTAACTGCTTAGCTAGCATTCCCTAATAAGGGGCTCAGCAGGAGCCTGGTAATGAGATGCAGAATTTAGGCTAATGAGTTAAATGAAAACAATAAATTTTTCTCTTAGGGGCCTCTGACAATGAGATTATTGTTACTCCCAAAAATGGCACTCCAGCAAGGAAGATGGGATTTGTGTTGCTAATTGTATCATTATAGGGGATGAGAGACTTTGGGCGGGTAATGGGGTGATGGGAAAAGCCAGAAGAAGAAAGGCTAAATTATGGCAGCAATGTATAAACTAATTTTTGTTGTTGTTGTTTCCTTGTTTCTCCTGTTCTTTCAAGTAAACCTCTATGATGTGAAACTGAAAGTGAAGTGAATCCCAGCTTTCAGTTCTGCACTTGTGACTAATCCACGTTTGTTTGTGAGCAGGCAGGCTACCAGATCACCCAACAGAGGCTCCCAATTGCTGCCAATGGGCACTTGACGTACAGTGTCTACATGGGGAAGAAACGGAGTCAGATGACCACCAAGACAGTGAGGATCAAACAGATCCAATTGGAGCAGGACAGTGGCAAAAGCCTCCATGATGACCTGAGGTCCCAGACGCTCATTGATTTGAATAGAGCTGGTAGGCTGGTTCTACCCTGCTTCTTCCAAACCTATCTGCTCTGGGGTCTCCAGCTCTTCTCTTCCTTTCTAGACTTTTCTCAAACCAACTGATAAAGCAGACACAGGAGCCTGACTGACAGATCAAAATATCCATGTTGGTATTGGCAGAGCTGATGAGAGAGCACAGCCTGAATCGTGCTCACTGCTAGGCTTGCCAATTACTCACCCCTAAAATCAGACAGACCTATCTGCCTTGTCACGGCCCACAGCTGGATATCCTTAAACAGACATCGAAAGAAATGAACCAGAGTTAAAAATGGACAAGTGGTAGATGGGGGAGGAGGGACAGACTGCTTTGAAGATTGTGCATTAATGCCACATTTTCCTAAGATCTCCCAGTTCTAGGCTATTGCGTCTGTCAATACCAAGTCAGGCTGACTTGCCTCTCTTTGATAGGAGTTGGCCTTCTCGAAGTGGTCCTGGAGCCTGACCTGTGCTGTGGAGAAGAGGCAGCCATAGCTGTCAGGGAACTGCAGATGATCCTTCAAGCCCTGGGAACCAGCCAGGCAAACATGGCAGGTAGAGGCTGCGTGGACAGTGTCCCTGCTCTGCATCATCCCCTCTCTGCTTCTGGCAATTCTGTATTTAGCCTTTTGCATCCCACTTCTTTTTCCCCCTTAGAATTTCCCTTGGGTTCTTTTTATGAGCCCCAAACCAAAATTAAACAAAACAACACTACACACACATTGAGCTGGAGAGTGTGAGTGTAGGAGCCAGAAGGCAAGATTTACCTTCTCCCAGCTTGTTCCATGAGAACTGAGGGGATTCATGAGGTGTGTTCAGTTCAGACCTTTCAGAAGAGAACTCTGCTCATGAATAATAATTCTTATTTTTGTGAGTTCTATATGCATAGCCAATTGCTAGTTTGGAAAGATGTAGTTCTCTTCTTTTGCAAAATTTTTATCCATCTCAAATTGTGAAATACCCTGACTTGATTATTACACACTATGTATTTATATATACTATGTATGTATGTATGTATGTATGTATGTATGTATGTGGGTGCAGATAGTAAAATATCAAACTGTTTCCCAGTCATTTGTACAATTAGAATACCTTTAATCTCATCACCCAGGAGGCAGAGGTAGACCGTTCTCTGTTGAATGCAAGGCCAGCCTGATCTACAAAGAGAGTCAGGATAGTCAGGGACAAATAGTGAGACCCTGTCTCAAGAAACAACAATAATAACCCATTAATTTTTAAAATGGAGTAAAATTTTTTATGTATTTCAGGAAAAGCACTACAAAAAGACAAAAATTATATCCAGCTGCCTTGATCTTTAAGTTCAAGGAGAGAGACACTTGGGTCTGGAGTATGATGAAAGTACAGAAAGTATCATATGAAACACATTTTTTTTCAAGTAAATCATAGGTCTCTTAGCTTCTGTTTCTTCATGCCAGTTTTGTCTTGACCCTTGCCCAGTGTTCCTTTGCCTTCCCTTAAGTCCCAGAGAGAGAATCTCTCCCACAGTTTCCCCTCATTTTCCTTTTCCAGAGGCTGAGTAAAAGCTCCCACCACCCTCAGGGCCCTCCCTGACAGAATACAATCTCTTGTTTCCATAGCATGCACATGAAATGGCTACAGTGGGCACTTAGTAAGTACCATTAATGATGAATTCGTCTCCCTTTTGGTGTGTAACACTGTGGATACCTTTATCACATCATATAATGTGTTTGCATGTCACAGAGGGTCTTCTGAATTTTTAATGTCACGCTTGTCACATAGGACATCTTACAAATGATAAATTGTAACTCCAGGAGAGTATGGTGAGACCTTATTTGCTGTCATCCTTAAAGGCTGGAGAAACAACCCCCATGAGTCTGAGTGGCATAAAGGTTAGCTGCCTACATGTTTCTTTTTTAGAAACAAGATCATGTTAGAATAAGGGAATTCTCTGTTAGTTTCCATTTATCACTCATGCTGCTTTTTTGCCCACAAAACATAAAAGAAATATGGGCAGCTTGATTGGTTAGCCATTAATGTGCTAAGCATTGATTCTATATCATGCTTTTAAAGTTTCTAGATAATCTCAAAATCCTCCAAACCTCTGGAATAATGAACAGGCCACTTGTTAGCTGAGGGAATCTGGTTCCTAGTGAAGAGGGAAGCCACAGTGGCAAGAGCTCATGAGTCAGTGGCAGCTGAGCAAGTTCATTAGATCTCATTTGTTGTGACACTTTCTGTTTCTTTTCAACACAAATCCGGCAGCTTTGCTTCCAGCACAGCATCCAAGAAGCTCAAGTTGTTCTGAAGTGCTCTGGAGCACTGAGGGCTGCCTGAAGGCCTCAAGAGTCCAGCTTCTCTGGCCATTAGCATTTTCTCAACCTAAATGTCTTTGTTCATTTTTTTCATGTCGCCACTGTGAGATCACTGTGTCAGCACTGGAGGCTGCACTAGGAACTGAAGGCTATCTTCAGGAGACCAGTAGACTTGGTGATTATGGTTATGAAGTGTGAACTCCTCTGGGCTCCGTTTAGTGAGTTCTTAGTAGTTTTGCTAATGAGCATGGCCCACCGTAGGCCGTTGTCTGAGTCATTTCCTTCTCATGTTCAGCATGTTGCTGCGGTTAGAAGAGATCCCCAAAGCAGTCAGTGTGTTGATCTGAATGGGAACAGAAGTGGAACTACTAGTGGGAAAGTTTAGTATGTGCTTATTAAAACAGTTTATCCTGTAATTTAGACACTGCAACATTTCTGGGTGATGGTGATATGCCTCTTTACAAGTAAGGAAACTGAAGCTGTTTGTACAAGACAGAACAGTAGAAGCTTCTGTACTGGGACTGAGCCCAGGTGTGCCTCCTTTGTTTATACAGGGTACCACAATTCCCAGTGGTAGCCATACTGCATCATGCTGCCATGGATACTTGCTCAGAGAGGTAGGTAATGAAGCATGAATGTGGACAGAGGGCCTGGATCTGAGTTGGAATCCAAGCCTGTGCCTTCTAGCAGTAGAAACCTGGGCACATTACCTGATTTCTTTGAGTCTTATTTTCTACACTTTTAAAAGTCATTCTCAAGTTGTGTGGAAAGAAAGAAGCAGAAGAGAAAGGAAAGCCAGGAGTCATTGGGTGATAAGGAATGACTCTGTAGGAGCAAGTCTGGGGTTCTGGTAGAAACATGGTTTGAAATGCCATAGGGATGTGTGGGTACCTGTCAATACCAGTCTATTACAGAGAGTGGATGTTAACGATGGCTGTAGAGCAGCACAGGTCTGACAAAAGTGTGCTGGGTGGATGCTGCACACTTTCAGCAGCATAGTACATGGGACTGCTTTTACAGAGTTTCCATTCATCTAGATGAATATAGTCTATGAGTTATATTCAATACAGTTTGATCACATTTGGCCGTCCATGCAGTCAGTGGTAGAACATCTGTCTAGTGTGTGCGAGTCCCAGGCCTTTCCCAGCACTGCAAACAGGTTCTTAATTAGCCCTGCTCCCGTTCTGTTCTCAGTTCTAGAGATTATTCAGCAGCCAGAAGGACCTACCTGTTCCACAGACCACCACTGTTTGCAGAAATAGTTTTCTATCCCAGTATTTTACTCTTGTTGTTCAGATGTGTTTCAAAAGCTGACGTGGCTGTTCTGTCACCATGCTCAGTGGTACAGTTTTTAGTTTAGCTGTTACAACCATTTACTCTGAGAAGATAGAAGTTGAGCTCACTGACATTCCTATGTGGGAATGAAGGCCCCTCAGTGGGACAGAATGCACAGAGGCAAACCTGACTGCTACGGCTTTCATGCACTTGAGGTAATTTAACTTAATTTTTTTAAAAGGCATTTTGTCTTCACGAGGTAGAGTATCTTTTGTTAATGTCTGATACTATATCTGAATCCATGCTAGTGAACTCTCTTTCAACACGGCAGGATACTAAGTGATTCTCCTTAGACATTTATGTAGTATGGTGTTCTCTGGGAAAGATGAAAATTCATGCCTTTATTCCTCTTCCAAATTAGAATTCTAAATCATGAAAGAGAGTCATCTTTAAAAGTGAGTAGTAATTCAGGTTTCCCGAGGTTTTTTTTTTTTTCTCCTGTCTCCCAAGCATTTAGGTTTGGTCATGCAGAGCTCAGCATACTTGGGCAGTTTTCCTTTTAGCCTAACGGGCCTTTCACGTGATTCCAATTGTAGATTAGTCAGACAGGATTGTAGATTCATTAGGAACCAGTGTGAGTGAGACAGAAACCAATCTATTTGCTTATTGCTCAGGAAAATACCAGTGTTTTGGAATTCATCATTCAATAGGGTTTAATTCATTGGATAATAACAGTGTGTCAGACCCAGCTCTAGATCCTGACAAAGACCTTGGTCCTGCTTTGATGACCTTACCCTTGGGAGGAATTTCATTAACAAACAAAACAAAAATAATTGTTATAGTTACTTTAAGAAATAAATGAAGCTCGGTGCCAGAACAACTTGGAAAGTGACAATATTGCTTTTAAAGGCCACTTAGCAGGGTAGATGTTTAGTTAAAATATAAGGAATGACTCAAGGCCCTAGCCAGCCTAGAACTAAGTGATGAGCATTCCAGGAAACTTGGCCTAAAGAAGAGCTCAGAAAGTACCACTAAGGTTACCAAGGTGACAGACTATAGGAAAAGCCAGAAAGGTAAGCAGAGAACAGTTTGGCAGTAGTCAGAGGTATACACTTCCAGGTGAAATGGGAATCATGGAAAGGATCCAGGTGAGAGATCACTTAGACTGGTTTATGTTTTAGAAGCCATTGTAAAGAGGGGATCTCAAGTCTGGAAGAGAAGCATGAGCCCATTTGAGAATGAGGGATCAGATGCAAGGCTTGACAGCAACAGTGGCTGAGATGATGGAGAGATGGGTGGATTCAAGATGGTTTTTAGGAAGAAGGCTCATGACAGGCTGGTGTGGAAAAAAGCAAAGGCAGCTTCAAGGAAGTTTGAAGATGCAGGTCATGGCTTTATCTGAGATGGGAAGATAAAGACAGGAATGTGTTTGCAAAGCAGCAAGTCAGGATTTGGATTTGGAAACTGAAATACCTATAAAGCCTATAGTAGGGCTCAGAGAAGTCTGCCAGTGAAGATCTAGGCATCATGGGGACCACAGATAATATTTAAAACCACTCTGGAGAGCATGTGAGTAAAAAAGAGTTCTATGTTTTCATAGGAAAAGGGACAGAAGCAAATGAAGTGCAAGTTGAGTGTTCAGGAATACTATGGTAGCATTAAGTGGCTGACACTGATGTAGGATGATGTTTCAAGAAGGAAGGAAACCAGGCGAAGGTAATCCTGGCTCACAGGAGGATTGTGAGTTCAAGGCCAGCTTATGCTGTTTATTTGTGGCAATCCTCAGCTATATATTAAGGCCCTGTCTCAAAAGACAGAGGCAAAAAGGGAAAGATTAATTGATATGTCACAGTGAAATGAAAACAGGATGTTTGTCCATTGGATTTGGCACCAAGGGGCTTGTGACACCTGTGACATAGCATCTTCAGAGATCTGAGGACAGAAGCCAGGCTGCAGTGGGTTAAGATTACCTGGGGTGAGAGAGTGAAGACAGTATGTGCACTAACTTGTTAGAAAGGATTTGCCTAGAGGGAAAGCAGAGAAATGGCTGATGACTGATGGTGTGAAAATTGGGCTCATGGGACTAGGTTTTGAGGCTTTTGTGTGTTTTCTTAATGAGAAATAAACACTATTAGATGTTTACATAGCAGAGGGAATGCTTAGAAAGATTGATGGCTTGTGTGGAAGAGAGGATTAGTGAGGCCCATGTCCTTGGGGGGCCCATCCTCAAGGACCTTTCCATTCTGGTTTTAGCAGTCAGTCCTTGGCTCTTATATGTGGCTTGTGTTCCTTGTATTCTGAGAAAGCTTCAGGACCTCCACAGGGAGGCCCACCTCCTGACAGAAGTGCCCAGTAGAGAGAAGGAACACTTACATGTGGTCTTGGAGGTTGAGCCTAGGGGAGAGAGAGAGGAACAGTAACATTGATGACAGTCCAGTGGAAAGCTAGATATGGGAGTGCACATCTATAATCCCAGTCTACAGAGGTTGAAGCAGCAGCAGGACCAGAAGTTCAAGGTCAGCCTTAGCTGCACAGTGAGTTTGAGGCCAGCCTGAATGACCTAAGACCCTGTCTCAACACTCCCATCCCCTCAAAAATGAAAATAAAAAAGCTCAAGTGGAATAAACAGTTGAGTGCTCCCTTGACTAGAGGTGGGGGAGCTTTCCTCTGATATGAATGTTGGTTTCATCAAACAAGATCTTAGATATGAAGTAGAGGAGATGACACAGTGGGACTGCTGTGTTCCGGTAAGCAATGGAAATGATAAAGCCACAATGCAGCAGCATGATAGTCTTGGTTAGTTACATTGTTGGGGACTGGACAAGAGGCCCTGCTGTGTTGAGACAGGATGTGGTCTCAAAGGTTGAAGTAGCAGAATGGAAAGGAGCAACAAATATGAGGGTATCTGGGGGTAAGGGACCTGAGAAGGTCTAATTGGTAGATTGGAGGTAAGGGACAAAGTAGGAAATACAAGGTAACGTCAAGGTTCCCTAGCAGGTGACACTTCTCAGAATTCAGAAGACTGTGAGTTGTTCAAAAGCCGATTTAAAAATAAGCAGTTGTAGGATATGTGCAGTTCTGAAGAAGTCAGAGCTGGCAAAGTAGGTAGAGCCATTCCTGAGCTGAAAGGATCTTGTCAGGCTTTCAGAGCTAGAGAGTGGGGGAGCTACTCCCATGACCTGAGGGTCTGGCGGGGGATGAGCAGTGGTCTCAGGCTGGTATAAGATTGGTGCCATAGCTCAGGAGTTGGGGTGACCACCCTCCTTTTCCTGGAATGGAATTTATTAATGCTTTTAATTGTTTTAATATGTTTTTGTTGTGGAACATTTGGGAAATGAATTTATTTAGCCCATCATGGAGCTTAAAGGATTAACATCTTTAATCTAAAAACCTACCTAAGAGCTAGAAGCAGTGGCACACACGCCTGTTGTCCTAGCTACTTGGGAGGTTGATGGAGGAGGATGGTGAATTCAGGCTTGCCAGGGCTCCACAGTGAGACTGTCTCAAAAAATAAATAATAAAAGCAACATTTTGTCTTCCTGTCTTGTAAGTAATGCACATAAAGTTGGAGACTAGAACTGGAGCTTTACTTTGTAAGATAGAAAATGTGATTTTTTTTTTTTCTTGTCTGCACATCTGTCTTGGGATTTTTGCCTCCCTTTCTTCCTCAAAAGCCTTTAGTCCTCTCCACAAATCACCTGTTTCCTTAGGGTCATGTCTCCTAAGCCAAGGAGCTTTCCAGGGCAGAGAAGGTCCCATAAGGATGGGGTCAGCTCTTTTCTCACCCTTCCACCCATCCCTCTCCACAGTCTGACTGCTTCAGCAAATCCTCATGGCAACCAGGGAGGCTTCGGATTCCTGTTTATGGAAGGAAAATCATTACAGTGCCTGAGAAGGGAGAGAAACAGCTTAGGTGTCAGCCCCTGCCCTTGAGCTGTAAATTCTAAAGGACTGTCTTATAAATCTCCTAAAAACACGTAGAGATCCTGATTTCACTGGAGAGCACTGGAGAGGTTTCACATAATCATTTTGGAGGCTTTACCCAAACCCACTTCAGATATTTTGAAAATAGCCATCGAGTAAAACTGAAGAGTGAAACTTTATTTTAATAACCTTATTCTCACTTAGCACACATACTAAATCTATACTTCCTGCTTGTGCATCAAAAATGTCTGTGTATGCACAAGAAGAAACACACACCTCAGGACTCTGGCTAGCCTTGAGTGGCAGGGGAAACAGCCACATTTCAGAGCCAGTTATACACACTGAATCTAGGTTGCTCTAACTAGACAGAAAATCTACTACTTACTTACCCTGACATCTCCCTGCCCTACAAACCATATTGCTTCAAAGAATTTCTACAGTTTTTGTATTTTTTCCTTGCAGAGGGTCAACTGAGAGTAGACGCCAATGTATCCGTGCATCACCCCGGGGAACCTCTGGGTGTCCGGACGGAAGTGAAGAATCTCAACAGCCTCAGATTTTTGGCTAAAGCTATAGGTGAATGTCAACTTCAATTCCTGCTGTGTCCCTCTGTGTATTGATCACCTCTCATTTGTAGTGGGCAACTGCACATAGTGGTTCCTGCAGTGGGCTCTAGTTCTCACAGTTCTGTGGACCAGACAGCAAGTCTGTTGAAGGTATCACCTTCACACTGCTGCAGCCAAGATGCTTAGTGGGCACTGGGTCTCTGGGGGAAAGTATTAACACAGTTCAGAAGAGGCTATTTTCATCTGTGTACGCCTTGTGCCCAAACCTGAAATTATTAGCCTGTAGTGAGATAGATATTCACCCACCCACCCTCACTCCCCTGCACCTGTAGCTCTGGCCATGCCTGTTTGGGCAAGGTCACAGGTGTGGATGTGATGGTTAAAAGGATTGAATTGGGGCTTGGAAGCCCCTTCTTTGGGTCTCGGAGAGCATCCTGGTGCCAGGATCTGCATGCTTGGAGCGGGAGCCCATGACCGCCATTTATTTCCTATGTATAAAGTCCACTTCATCTTACTGGTCAAACATCCTGATTTCCATGTGCTATATAAGCCAGCCTTAATGAAGACACTTGAAGGGACATATTTTTAGAGAAAAGGCATTAAAATGGTTCAGGGGGTTAGTCATGAGACCAGCAGATAAGGGTAAAAAGAGTGACTCCTATCTCTGAAAGGGGACATAGTCCATTTGCTGAAGCCACTGAAGGGGTAAGAGGAGAGGCTCTTGCTTGCAAGTTGTGTTTGTGAAGGAGCTTGGAACAAGTGGAATAAAGTTTGCCTTCACCCTGAGTATGCCATGTTCAGGACTGCATTGATCTAGGAGGTGCTTAACAGTGACCAACAAAGGCAGACAACCAGAGTTTATGGCTTGTCTGTAACAGTATACAGAGGAGCCCTTGATATTTTTTTTTAACTGCCCCTAACCTTTTTTTGTTATATGAGGTGCCCTCAGTTAGGATCCGACCTGTGTTCAAAGATAGCCTAGCAGAACCAAAGCTTTGTCACCATGGGCTTAATTCTCCAAGCCTACAATTTGCCCACCAGGTGTTTTCAAATCATGTTGGACCTTTTAGCCATCATTTCATGTCAATCAAGGAGAACATTCAGGTGAGAGGGGTGGGTTACAAATTAACCAGTTTGGTGCTGTTGCCTCTCAGCAGCCCAGATTTAAAAAGGTGTGGATTTGAGCAAGAGCAAGAGGCATGGGGTGGGAAGTTGGGAAGGGTGACTTTTGCAAAGGAGATTAGCAGTTGTACTGTGTTTCAGTCATGTTTGGCTGTGTTGATTGGCATAGTCTATCTATTCTGTTGGGTAGTGAGGGTGTATGTTACAGAGCAGTGGTCACAGATATCTTGGAAAATTATTCTCTTTCCAAAAGTGTACATACATTTTCACCCATATTCTCTATATACATTTTGAGGGTTGTGAGGGTTCCTTTGACCCATCTGCTGGTCCCAGGATAAGGCTACAATCCTAGATCTTCGGTCACTAGGCCTACACAGCAGTCCCAGCCCTTCTGCCAAGGTGTCTATAGCTGTACTAGGTTGTTAATCTCTCTGAGCTGAGGTGTCTGAAAAAGAAAGATACAGGAGGAAAGAGACAAGCTTCTTAAGGCTCTTTCCAGTTGTGAAAAGAAAATACAGCCCACAACGGAATGATCATCATAAATAATCCCCTGGACTTTTTTTCTTTAACTTAAGGATCGAGAATCGTTTCTAATTATTGCCTACATGGATAAAAGGGACTCAAAATGTTCTAACTTGCTGTGACTTTTTTTCAGACTATGAAATTCAGAGACAAATCACTGAACTTGAGAATGGAGGTGAAATTCTAAATGAAACTCGTTCGTTTGATTATAAGCTGGGGTGAGTTTATATTGATAAGTCTGTTGACCACAGCTTGGAGGCTGGGGCTCAGCCATGGACTGGTCATGTGACAAAGGTAGTTTCTCTGTAGCCATAAGAGAAATGACCACTGCACCCCATAGGGATGAAACATGGTCTTCTGGGACCTTAGAGTTCAGCTGACCTAAGCTTATACAGAAGTACTTAGTCTCAGCTCCGAGGCCCTTTGCTTCCCACTTTGTGGCAAGAATTTTCATTCCCTTAAATAATCTGTGAAAGCTCTCACTGCCTAAGCTTGATGTAGAAAAGGGCTGAGAGCTGGTTGTGGGGATACTGCATCAGTTAGTTTTCTGTTGCTATGATAAAACACTGTGATCAAAAGCAGTCTATGGAAGAAAGAGTATATTTTGGCTTGAGATTGCAGAGGCAGTATCCATAATGGCAAGGGAGGCATAGCTGTAAGTGGCTGGAGCAGGAAACTATGAGATCAAATCTTCAGCCACAGACACAAACCAAAGAGAGTAAATTGGAAGTGTGGCAAAGTTATGAACTGCGAGTGACACACTTCCACTAGCAAGACTGTACTAGCTCCCAAAACAGCACTGGCAGCTGGGATCCAAATGTTCAAATACCAGAGCCTCTCCGGACATGTCTCAAACAAACCACCACAGATACTTTTTTTTTGCAGTTGTTTAGAAAACTTGGACCCTGTTTTTTCTCAGCCTGAATTTTAAGATTTTGTACTTTAAGTAAAATACCAAAGAATGCTCAAAAGTCTATAGAGTTTTCATGAAAGCTGGCTGGTTGGCTGGTGTGTGGCTCAGCAATAGAACGCTGGCTGCGAATGCTGGAAATCCTGGGTTCAGTCCCTATCTACATACACAGGAAATATGGAAGCAGTTTGTTTTTGTAAAATTATCTTTCTAGGAATTTCTCTTTATTTGTGTAAAATAGGAGAGCCATAGTAGATAGTAGATTCATTCCCTGGGCGATCCTGTGGAAATCTGAAGAACTTGAGTTTGCCTGCCAGTAGAGGAGAAAACCCTATGCCAGGCAGCTGCCACTATAACAAACATTTGAGCTATTCAGCTTATAAAGAGAATGGATTAATTTTGGTTCACAGTTTCAAAGGCTTCAGTCTGTGATTGATTTGGCCCATGGTGGCACATCTTTTCCCAAGCACATGGCTGCGCTAAACTGCCTGCCTCATTACCAATGTGCTAGCCAATCTTGATTAGATTAGTGAAGCATTCCTTTGGGTATGTCTAATGTGTTTCCAGAGACCACTAGACCATTACATCCCAGCTCGATGAATGATTAATCCCTTCATGGGATCATATGATGGCATTATTAGGAGGTTGGACCTGGTAGGAGGACCAGGTCTCTGGGGGCATGTCCTTGGGTATATATCTTACTCTTTCTATTCTATTTCCATTTCTTTGTTCTGACATGTTCCCACAATGATGGACACTTATTTGTGAGGCTAAAAACTAAAATAAATAGTATTTTCTCTTCTAAGTTGTTTCTACTAGGTATTTGATAAGCATGAAGAAAGTAACACACTAGGAAACAAAAGATAGAAGGAGAGCCCAGGGTTCCACAGTGTCCTTTGAGGGCATATTCTAATGGTCCAAAGGCCTTCCATTGGGCCCTGTCTCTTTCTGACCCTTCTAAAGTTTCTACCTCTTCTTAATTGCACCAAGCCTTTAACACACAGCCCTTGTGGGGAATGCTTGAGCTCCAGCCCATAGTAAGGCCCTCTCTGCACATGGTCTAGCCAGTGTTACCTGCAACTTTGTCTTAGTGCTGTCTTATCTGACTATTGCAGGTGCACCGTGTCAATGAGAGACAAAGAAGGAAAGCAAGACTACAGGTGATTATTCCTTATGCAGAATACCAACATGTATTTGGGGGTATATTTCAAATCCATTTAACAATCAGCATAATGATGCTGGAGAATTTGGGGAACTACTTGTTTTTACATGATAGAAATCAAGATTTCTTATTTTGTGTTATATGTCATCTAGGAGAAGTGATATTTTCTTGAGTTGATAGCTGCAGAGTTCCTTGGCTAATAGGGATTCAAATGCCGACCTTTGTGACAAAGATGCTGTCATTTAAATAAGAGGATGGCAGGTGAGGGAGGGCCCAGGCTTACATTTGGTAGTAATTCTGTAATAAATTGAAATCCTTTGGGGAGATATAAAAAAGAGGTTAGCCTGTCAATGAATGGTCTCTTTAAACCTCAGTTGATGCTATTTCATTGCCAAGATAAGCAAATCAGAGGCCACTAGTTCATCAGAAGAGTACTCACCAATAGTAAGAGGTTCTGAGTTCCATTCTTTTTTATTTTTACTTTATTTTTTTACATTTTTTCTATTTTTTTATTTAAATTAGAAACAAGCTTGTTTTACTTGTCAATCACAGTTCCCTCTCCCTCCCCTCCCCTGCTTCCCACTAACCCTCTATCCCATCCCCTTTGTGCTCCCCAGGGAGGGTGAGGTCTTCCATGAGGGATCTTCAAAGTCTGTCATATCATTTGGAGCAGGGCCTAGGCCCTCCCCCATGTGTCTAGGCCGAGAGAGTATCTCTCTATGTGGAGAGGACTCCCAAAGTCCATTCATGTACTAGAGATAAATACTGATCCACTACCAGAGGCCCCATAGATTGCCAAGGCCTCCTCACTGACTCCCACATTCAGGGGGTCTGGAGGAGTCCTATGCTGGTTTCCCAACTATCAGTTTGGGGCCCATGAGCTCCCCCTTGTTCAGAACAGCTGTTTCTGTGAGTTTCACCAGCCTGGTCTTGACCCCTTTGCTCATCACTCCTCCCTCTCTGTAACTGGATTCCAGGATTTCAGTTCAGTATTTTGCTGTGAGTGTCTGCTTCTGTTTCCATCAGCTACTGGATGAAGGCTTTAAGATGGCATATAAGGTAGTCATCAATCTCATTATCGGAGAAGGGCATTTAAGGTACCCTCTCCACTATTGCTTAGATTGTTAGTTGGTGTCATCCTTGTTGATCTCTGGACATTTCCATAATGCCATGTTTCTCTTTAAATATATAATGGCTCCTTCTATTATGGTATCTCTTATCTTGCTCTCCTCTGTTCTTACCCCAACTGAACCTTGCTGCTCCCTCATGTCCTCTGCATCCCTCCTCTTCTCCCCTTCTCATTCTCCTAGCTCCCTTCCACCTCTTCCCGTGCTCCCAATTTGCTCAGAAGATCTTGACCCTTTCCCCTTCTCCAGGGGACCCTGTAAGTCTCTCTTAGGTTCCTCCTTGTTTACTAGCTTCTCTGGCAGTGTGAATTGCAGGCTGGTAATCCTTTGCTCTATGTCTAAAATCCATATATGAATGAGTACATACCATGTTTGTCTTTTTGTGACTTACCTTGCTCAGGATGGTTTCTTCTAGTTCCATCTATTTGCCTGCAAATTTCAGGATTCCATTGTTTTTTTCCACTGGGTAGTACTCCATTGTGTAAATGTACCACATTTTCTCTATCCATGTCCCCAATTTTTCCATCCATTTTTCAGTTGAGGGGCATCTAGGTTGCTTCCAGTTTCTGGCTATTACAAGTAATTCTGCTATGAACATGGTTGAACAGATGTCCTTGTTGTATGAATGTGCATCTTTTGTGTATATGCCTAAGAGTGGAATTGATGGATCTTATGGTAGACTGATTCCCATTTTCCTGAGGAATCTCCATATTGAATTTCAAAGTGGCTGTACGAGTTGGCACTCCCACCAGCAGTGGAGGAGTGTTCCCTTTCTCCACATCCTCTCCAGCGTAAACTGTCATTGGTATTTTTTATTTTAGCCATTCTGACAGGAGTACTAGGTATATCAGAGTTGTTTTGATTTGCATTTCCCTGATGGCTAAGGATGTTGATCACTTTCTATCAGCCATTTTAGACTCCTCTATTGAGAATTCTCTATTTAGTTCTGTACCCCACTTTTTAATTGGATTATTTGGTGTTTTAGAGACAAGCTTCTTGAGTTCTTTGTAAGTTTTGGAGATCAGCCCTTTGTGAGATGTGGGGTTGGTGAATATCTTTTCCCATACTGTGGACTGCTGTTTTGTCTTGTTGACTGTGTCCTTTACCCTACAGAAGCTTCTCAGTTTTAGGAGGTCCCATTTATAGTTAATCTCAGTGTCTGTGCTACTGGTGTTACGTTCAGGAAGTGGTCTCCTGTACCAGTTCGTTCAAAGGTGTTTCCCACTTTCTCTTCTAAGAAGTTTAGTGTGGCTGGATTTATTTTGAGCTCTTTGATCCATTTGGACTTAAATTTTGTGCATGGTGATAGATATGGCTCTATCTGCAGTCTTCTACATGCCAGCATCCAGTTATGCCAGCACCATTTGTTGAAGATGCTTTCTTTTT